GGGCATCGGCAAGTGCAGCCTCAGTTTTGGCGCTGTTGACGCCCTTTCTGAGGAACATCCTGACCATGTCGTCGCGTGGCCTCTTTACAACAATCTCGTGCCCGGTGCTCACATCCCAGTAATAAGTGACAACACCAAACCCCCCTTGTCCAATCATTTCCCTCAAATAGATAGGGCCTTCACCTGGTGTATGCGCTCCTGTAGCAAACTGCGTGTCTGGCCGAAGAGGGATATTTAGTCCGTCCAGGAGGCCTTCCGCGGTCGCACTGCCCTGGCAAAACCTTTCGACCTTGTCGATATATGACTGGGAATCAATGTCATGCTCGAAAGCCACGATTTCAAATTGGACAGTCTTGTGTATTTTAATAATAATCTTTCCCTGCTGATGAGCTTTTTCGTTGCCACCAATAATCCAGGTAAAATTGCGTCGCGTACCCGTCCCTTTCGTGTCGTAAGTTACCTCGGTTCCGATAAGAGATCCCAAGTCCTTCACGATAAACTGTCTTCGCTCATCAAAAGTTAAGCTAAAGTGAAAGTGGCTTAGACATGGTAGATTAGGCAGGACAACATCACTCTTCCTATTACATCCGAATACGACCCCATGGGACGATCGTGGGATCTTGCTGAATCTGATCTCGATGAAGGGCCTGCCGTCATATTCGGATGCAGTTGCGTCCACTTCCTCCGGAGGCTCAGTCGCCTCGCGGTCTTCACGCCCACACTGAACTTCTTTTGGCTGTCCATCAGATAGCGGCGGCGGTACACAATACTGACTAGTCGTGATGGCCTCTTTAGCACAGCCATGAGTATCGGAAACAGGGTACACACGAGCAATGAGGTCTTTGACGTCCATGGTTTATTGCCCGATGACGGTAGAGACGGAAATTGGGAGGAGACATGATTGCCACGGATGACAGCCGACTTTAATATTGGAAGAGAAATCAGAAAGCCCTAAATTCACATAAGCCTCCTTCTATCCTCCTGTCTAATCGTGCTGGCAATCCTGCACCTCCTTGAGACGGGGGCGGCTACGTGGCTCTCATCATTGGGCGTGACATGCGTTCTGAGATGCATGACGCGCCCGTTTTTGTAAAGGAATCAGGCTGTCATGCAGTGAAATGAGAAAAGTGTGACAAGGGCAGGGTGACTGGGCTTGGAACATGTGTGTTCAATTCAAACTACGTATAATAATAATCGACTTTGGGATATCGAACGTCCTTGGTTTTCTACGAGGCCCTGAGGAGCCGGAGGTCTCTATAAATCCAAGAAGTCGCTGAGGGCTAATGCCTGAGGGCTAGTGCCCGAGGTAGCCTTAGCTTAAGGCCGACCTCGGGCCTCGACGTCGTGATACTTCCTTTGTTGTTGTGAAACCATTGTTGGCCCAACGCCCCTTGTTGTGAGCCAACCGTGTGACAGCACTGAGAGTGTGTAACCGGGCAAGGTACCTAAGCATTGCACCAGTTATAATATAGTATAATATACCATAATATACCATGAAGTATTATAACCTATTAGTAAATTCCTCTTATTAAGCTAATAAAGTTTAGTAGTAGTTTCGATGTTATTTCCCATTATATCCGCCTCAGACGGGTATCTGTGGGGATCCCCCTCCTGATGGCACCCGTTGACGGTCTGGTGGCCCGTGGCACTCGGAACCCGGCTGGAGCCTTAAAGCCCAACACCCTTCCCCCTCGTGCCCCAGGCTGCACCTAGTAACGTTCGACCCTTAAAGGACCAACACAAGCCCTGAAAACATGCAGGACAGGCATTTCTGGTTTGAGCACCGCAAATCCTCCGCACCAAAATGTCTCGTTCGCAGATGACGACCGGCAAAGATTTACTCGCAATGAGCGACGCACAGCTCTGCGAATTTATGAAAAGAAACCGCCAACCTGACGGCTCATTCGACCTTTCTGCTGATTGTACCGTATTATCCAAAGACGAGCGGGATTGTCTTGCTAGAAGACTACGGTGCGTTCTCTCTCTCTCTCTCTCTCTCTTTTTTTTTTTTTTTTTTTTTTTCGTTTCCGGATATTTTCATCTACTTACGCCCGCGTAGATTGATACAACGAGAAGTGACCGACAAGCTCGCGGCGAACTCGCGTCCGCTTGACCTGGACAAGCTCGACGCGCTTCTGCGTGATGTGGCCAGCAGAGAAGATTCCCAATCTCGCGACCGACCGCGTGCAAGGGAAAGTGAAACCCAATCGCCGGATGAAAGTCCGCAAGAGACGTATAAGCGAGAAGAGATGGAAGCGTATAATAATCTTGTTAATGATGGTGGCCACCCACTGTACCAAATCGACCTCCTGGAATCTGTTTCAAAAGACCCTGATGCGTACTGCGAGATGCTGACCCCATTTTGGCGACCGCCGCGATGGGGTAAATCAGAGATGGATACCTTTAACGTTCGAGACGCAATACAAAGACAATGGGACCGGTGGCAGAATTTCCGAAAATGGCAACTTAATAACAGGGGGATTGATTACAAAGATGCTAATGATGAGGAGGTCTTTTCGGCTCATGTTGAGAAAACAAAGCGCCATTATAGAGAAGTAGGTTGGGATGAACAGGCAGCTAGGCTTGAGACCGACCCAAACTCTTTGAAGCAGCCAGGCAGCTGGTGGCATTCTCTTCAAAGACACCATGACTGGCAGCGCCGATATCAGCGGGAGCTTGGATGCGAAAGCTTCTCTGATTACCAGGGCGCTGTGAAGGCGCGATTAGCTCGGCATGGCTTCACACGATCGTTCTATCTAGCGGAGGACCCCAAGCAACAAGATAAATTGACAACATGGATCGAATACCTATGCTTTGAGTACTGGTGGCTTGACCGTTATACTGCAACAAAAGAGCGCCTAAAGTCAAAGCACGATGATGCTTGGATTGAGGTAAAGAACCAGGGAGTGGTAAAAGAGGGCGAAACTCCGGAATTTATCCGCACGGACGAGTCTGCTATGCGACGTCAAGATGCTAAAGACCGTGCATCGAAGGCCATGAAAGACGCAGAATTGGAAGCAGAAAAGATTTACCACGCAACGCAGACGGATCCCGATCGCTTTAGCATTCCTAAGGAACGGCGCGTGCGAATGTTAGTCAAGGCTAGGAGAAGACTCTCAAAAGCAAAAGAAACGGTTGACTTTCTTAAACGGCGAAGTCAGCTTCTCATTGGGTTCGTCCGTGGAACCTTTGGCTATGATGATGCCAACCAAGATGTAGTTAACCAGATGAATCTTTTGGAATGGGCTGTGGCGGAGACTCGCTCAATCGAGGACGAACAGAAAGCTGCGACCTTGGGGAGAGAGGCTACGAGGAAGAGGAAAGAATCAGCCGAAGACAGCTGCATAGTAGAGCCAAGTTCCAAAAAACAGAAGTCATGTGCTTCAGAGAATGGCTCACAACCAAGCAACAGCAGAATCGGCACGAGAGACAGAAGATCATTACGCAGCAGGGATATCCCATCAGAAGACATCAACCGACAACTTGACCAAGAAGGCAATCACTGCACGGCGCAGGCTGTGCCTTTGACGGAAGCCGAGGCAGAACCTGTAACCTTGGGGCAGAGGAAAAAAGTCGCATTCCAAGATGACTCTTCAACGCCGCCAAGGCGTAGGAAATCGAAATCAAATGCCAGTCGTCACGACTCGCAAACCAGCGACAGAGTCTTACGAGCACGGAATTGCCCAACAACAAGCGCAAGTCAGCGCCCAGATCAGCACCAAACTCGACGCCTACAGGACGCAAAGTCCAGCAGCAAGTCACCCAAGCCCAATGTGCCGTCTCAGGAATTAATCCAAGGATTACGTCGCAGCGCTCGACTCAAGGCATTACGTCGCGAAGCATGATTGATTCAGCAAGACGCAATCCACACGTCTCCGTGGAAAGAGATGGATTACAAAGAAGCGCACTCGCAGGCGAGGGCATGTTGTTACAGTTCAAGTGGGTGTAAAAGAGCGGCCAGCAGGCCAGGTCGCTATCTTTAGGTTTAATGAATTAATGACGTGGTAGATTAAATAATCAACTTGAGATATTTTCTTGGCTCTTCTCATAATGCACACACAGATTTTGAAGAATACGCCACGGCATGCTAGCAAAGGTAAAACGCATGGCGAGAGTTCATCGCACAACAAGGCAGGTTCTACATCTACCACTGGCAAGCCAGGCTTATCCTATTGATGGAACCACATGGCCAAGCGATAAGGAACAAGTGAGCGTCTTAAGCAGGGCTTCTTTTTTCTATTGGGTCAGAGTGGACCGCTGCGGGGAGCGGGTTACAGTACGTGGTACGGAGTAATCGTGTTAGGCAGCAATTGCGCTCATCTGTGCCGACCAATTGCTGACTGACTGCTTTGGCAGCTTCAGACACTTCAACTGCTGTACAGTCAAGACATGTCGTGCTCTGTCGCCGGCTATGGCATGCCGGTACGCCGCTGACAAAGACCCGGCCAGGCGCAGCAGCCCACCGGCATCTTCTAGAGGGACCAGCCATCTCCCCCTACGCTATTAATCATCACGGCGCGCGGCACTGGGGACAGATGAACCTGGCCGCATGGTGGGCTGTTGTGGAGCCACTAGACCCCCCTTTTCGTTTTACCCTTCAATGTTCTCTTTCTATCTTTGAACAATCGGCGCCGCAAAACGTGGCTTACGTACTTGATTTGTTATGTGGGTTCTCAAACGGCCTCGGAAATCAAGATACGGCTCCTATAATATTTCCGCAGTGGTGATTCCGTTTGGATCAGGGTATATATATTTCATCCCCGTACTCCGTATTCCACCACGGTATTCCACCACGGTCATTAAAGTAGAACCATTTTGCAATTGCACACATCAGTAATACATCGCGCCTTCCCCCACATAGAGCTTCATCATCACGACAAACCCCACACAAGTCACTTACATACATACACACTGACCAGTGACCACACACAAAAACCCTCATCCCGCCTCCTCTGTACCTTGATACAACAACAAGAACCAGAAAAAAAAAACCGAAAAAAATGTCGGCCGCCAAGCTCTCCGCCGACCTCCTCATCCAGATGGCCAAGGCCCGCCGCACCATCTACGCGCTGGACAAGAACCTCCCCGTCTCCACCAGCCGCATCCAGGAGCTCGTCAACGAAACCACCCTCCACACGCCCTCGTCCTTCAACTCGCAGTCCAACCGCGCCGTCGTGCTCCTGGGCCCCGAGCACGACAAGCTCTGGGACATGACGGCGTCGACGCTGCGCGCCATCGTCCCCGACGACAAGTGGAAGCACACCGAGGACCGCATGGCCATGTTCAAGAGGGCCGCCGGCACCGTCCTCTTCTTCGAGGACGACGACGTCGTCAAGGGCATGCAGGCCGCGTTCCCCTCGTACGCCGACCGCTTCCCCGCCTGGGCCACCCAGAGCGCCGGCATGCAGCAGCTGCTCCTCTGGACCGCCCTCGAGCTCGAGGGCCTCGGCGCCAACCTCCAGCACTACAACCCGCTCATCGACGACAAGGTCGCTACCACCTGGAGCCTGCCCAGGTCCTGGAGGCTGAATGCCCAGCTGGTCTTTGGGGGCCGCGCCGGCGAGCCCGGCGACAAGGAGTTTAAGCCGCTCGAGGACCGTGTCAAGGTCTTTGGTGCGTGAAAAAAATGCGTACATACATACACACACACACGTCGGGTTGACCCCGCGAATGGGTTTCTGGGATTTCTGCATAGCGTGCTGTATAAAAAGAACGATCTGTGCGTTGGTGGCAGTTTGGTTTTTTTTTTTTTTTTTCGTTTTTCGTTTCTTTGTGTTTTGGACTCGAAGGAGTCGGGTTGCGCGTCTACCTGCCTTTGAACAGGCTACTTGCTGTTTGTCGTGCTCGTAGAGCCCCATTGTCACAGTTTTTTCCCTATTGTCTTCTCCGTGGCACGAGTATAAAGATAGAGACAGAGACAGAGATAAAGAAATAGACAAGAGGTCTTTCCACAAGCCCTGGAGCCAGTTGTTAGTACATTGATATGTCAGAGTTCATATAGAAGCAGTCACGTTGTTTCTTCACACTGCAAAAGAGAGTCATAGATATCAGTGTTGTTACATGAATATGTGAGTCTTCGCATCGTAGTAATTCCATTGACCCATCTCCACGGTGCAAAGACACTCATAGATAACAGTTGGAACCTTTCCACAAGCTCTACAAAGACACTCATAGATAACAGTTGGAACCTTTCCACAAGCTCTACAAAGACACTCATAGATAACAGTTGGAACCTTTCCACAAGCTCTACAAAGACACTCATAGATAACAGTTGGAACCTTTCCACAAGCTCTACAACCCGGTGCAACTACGTTGATGTGTGAGTGTTCGTACAGTAATACTTGAGTTGTGCTCCAATGCAATATACCTCCCCCTCCCCCTTTAAATATAGAAAATACACCTCACGCAGAACAACCGCCTTATCCACAAGTATAATACAAATACACTCCAGTGTTCCCGACTTAGTCCTCCACGATTCGTCCAAGGGCTTGTCCCATCTTGATCGTCTGTCCTTTCTCCACTGCCCAGTGCCATCCGCTAATGGGCTTTCCCCCCTCCTCCTCCTTTTCAGAAGGCGCCTCGAATACCAAGACGATGGTGCTGCCCAGCTGGAATCCACCCATCTCCTCGCCTCGACGGAGGGCGTGGCCATGAAGAACCGAGCTGGCCCCCTCGTACGTGGCCTCGGCAAAGCCCATGTACGGCTCGCCGCGTTTGGCCGCTTCCTCTGCGGCATGATCGGCAGCCGTGTCCGTCAACAAGCTGTTTGTTCGCAGCTCGCGGTCAAAGTTGATCTTGATGGAGCCAACATTTGTCGCCCCGACAGGCACGTAGCTGAAGAAGCCGTAGCGCCAGCGGCCCAGCAGCACCACACGCTCGTTCAGGGTAAACAGACCGGGAAGGGTTCGTTGCAGGTATGGCGAAACACTGTACAGCTCTCCGGCAAAGTGGCGCCGTCGCTCGACGACCCAGTTTGTAGGCGAGTGGAATCTGTGATAGTCACCGGGAGCTAGATAGATGACGGCGTAGTAGAGTGATGTGCTCTTGTCCGCGGAGACGATGTCATACCAGGGCTTTTCCCCAAGGGCTAGCTCGGCCCGAACCTCGGATACGGCCCGGGCAGAGACTTCGGTCGACTCATCGGTTGTCGGGTGAGGTTTTTGAGCATCGGCCTGGCCGGATAGCAGATCAGGGAGGGTGTAGGAAATGCCGTTCATCTTGGCGAATTCTTCCTCCTGCCTGACAACTTCCTCATCTCCGTGGGACACGCTGCCACCACTTCGAACAGATGCAGAGCTTTGGCCAGAGGCGATGCTGGCCGTGGGTGTGTTTTTGCCCAGCAATGCATCGACGCTATACGTCATTCCCTTGACCTGCTCGATATCTCCGCCCTCAATTCGTCCATACTGCAGGATTTTACCGTCCGACGGGGAGAGCAGGGCGCGGCTGTCGGGATCGAGAGGTCTTGCGCCAGGCTTGAGTGTGCGGTAGAAGAATGCAGCCAGGTTTGGGTAGACGTGTAGGTCGGGTTCGGATACTTCGTCAAGGCTTTTTGGGCTGGTATTAGCCAAGGGCGACATTCAAATGGCGAAGTGAGGCCATCGAGAGAACTCACTTGACACCGAATATAAAAGAGTAGAGCTTGAATCCAGGCACACGCAGGTAGTACGGGATTGTCAGTTCGTTGAATTTCCCCCAAATCCGCGAGATGGCCTTCAGGGGCAAAGTTGACATTACTTGAACTTGCCTGGAGTGCAAATCCCGTTAGCCTGGCTCTGGAGGAGAGCGGGGATGCAGAGTGACGATTTTGCATACCATGGCCCATCGGGTCGAATCCTCTGACGCCGTTTTGGCTGCTCGCTCGAGACACCAGCGTCTTCCTGCCGTCGCTTCTCCTGCTCTCTCGCAGTGACTTTGTAGAATTGCACCAGGCCGAGAAAACCGATGCCCACGCCGACAGGGATGTGGTACCAAGTTATCTTGCTGTTCCGCAGGGCCTCGCCCAGGCGCTGAGAGAACCCGGGGCGTCTGGCATACCGCGACGAGAAGTGCCGAGCAGCAATTGGTGTTTGGAGAGGGTATCGGAAGCTCAGCAGGGGGGTTGTCACACGCTGGTCTGCGCAGCTGGAGCATCGTCGGCGAATGTTGGCCAGGGCATGTCGTCGCAGGAGCTGGCCGGAGCCAACTCCCAGAGCTGCCATGATTGTGGTCAACCGGAGGGCGAGGTACGGAGAATGTCAGATACCGAGTGCGAAGCTATGCAGCTGGCATCGAATTGGATTGGGGTCCCAGCGGCAATTCGCGAGGACTTGGGGGAGGTAGTCTTGAACAAATGCACCTGACGTAGTCACCAAACCTGGTGCTTGCGAGATGGAGGAAGAGAAGGGAAAGTGGAGATGTATTGAATGTACTCCATCAAAGCAGCCACTCACTACCAACAGCTGATGTCACTCGGGTGCTTGGAGAGGATCAAATGCCTCACGTCTTTACTTTAAAACAAAACAGACAATCAATCAATTGACTTCCATGACTAGATATGCCGAGTCGACTAACACTCTAAATTCCAGATTCTACATTCATCTCGGCGGTGCAACAAAAAACAAAAAAGCAAACAAAATTCTAAAAACGGCATCAAATGGAGCAAGTGCTAGGAACCCAGGTAGGTATGTAGGGTAGGTAATGGTGAGCTGCGCCATGTGCTACAATGTAGCAGCACTCAATGGTCTCCACTCTCCATGCCATCACCGGACACGTCCCACGTCCTCTCCTCGCCTACCTACCTAGGTATCCAACCGTATTCGACCACGCAGCGCAGAGAGGCCATCTAGATTCGTGCCTGGCGCAGCATCAAGTTGTCTGGTATATATTCAGGCACGATGCCGCTGCAGTGCACGGGAAACCTCAAGCCTGGTCTCGTCAGGCATGCCAGCGGCACTGTATGTAAGCGTGACCTTCTCGGATAGATTGACTTTGTCAACAACGATGGCCTTCACTGGATCTGGGTACTGTACTTTAAAGTCTTTCCGTGGCACCCAGATAACGTGTATTTCTTCCAAAGCCGCTGCTCTCTCACCAGCAGCAACTGCCAATTCTCGATGGAGTCGCTCACGAACAGAATGTGAGGACACGGACAGCGTCTCGAGCAGCCCAGGCTCGTTCTCGTAATGAAAAACCCAGGTAAGCCTCTTCAGTCTGGGACCCAAAATGCGCGCTGCAAATTGCTCGGCATCGTCACATGCAACGAACCCCAATCGGTCGGGGTATCTCAACCCCCTATAGTGCAAGCTAAGGTGTTCCAAAGCCGTACAGTCAGAGACGTTGAGTGTCGAAGGGACTCCAAATGCGGAAAATACCAGACTGAGGGCCCGGAGACTGTGCTTGTGTCCGTCGAAACGCATAGGGAAGGGGATGTGTGGCGTGGGTCGCGAGTAGTCCAGCAAGGTCAATTCCTCGAGGGCGTTGGGAAACCCTTCGAGTACGCTGGGGAAATCAAACAAGTTTTGGATGCCTGCTATGGAAAGTGATGTAATGTTGCACTCTCCCCGAAGCATCTGAATGCCGTTAGCATATATGCCCGTTGTTGGAAACCGAACCACGCGTTTACTCACCGGCTGACCTTCGGCTCTCTCGCTCTCCTTCAAATTGCTCGTGATTCCTAGGTGCAACTTCCTGACTGACGATGGCCATTGCATGGAATATAATGAATCGAGTTCCCTCATATGATCCACTGTCAAAATTGCAACCGTGACCAATCTTGACATGTCTTTGACAGGGTCTAACAATCTAGGATACAAGGTGTTCTGCATCTCCGTAGTCCTTTTGAAACTGCAAGCAATCCAAAGCTTTGTCATATTTGGGAGGTCAGGAACGATTTCTTCAAGACTCCGCAAGAACTCTTCGCGCCCAGCAAACTGGTCTTCTGTCATGTTCACTCCAAGCTCGCGGCACTGGTTACCAAGTTCGCGATTTCGCTGAAGCGCATTGCGGAGGCCCCGGGACCAGTTAACTGGATTTAGCATGAATCCGAATCGCTTCATGTCATCGGCTTTGAGGGGGCAAGCGTCGTATTGGAACAAATATCGGAACTTGACTTGTTCTACTACATCGCGGAAACGAGAACAAGTAAGTGCCAAGTTAAGGATTGCTGGGCCATCACCTGGAGTCGCACAGGATGAAGCCTCAGGACAGTCATAATCAGGCTCCCGCACGGCGATGGCCAAGTCGAAGATTATCATCAGAATCTCGACTGTGAGATCTTGAATGCCTGCCATTATAGTCTTGTGCTCCGACAACTTGTCAGACTAGCAGGCTCGGGTGAAAAGGTCCTGGCAAGGTAGGCGAAGAGAGGGAGGCAAACGGAAAACTGGGAAAGAGATGTTGATAGTTGTGCCTTTACTATTATTGTTTTGCATATAACTAGAAACTGGCCGTCCCATCCTCTTTATATACTCCATGACGGACTCGTGAGACCGTGAAATGAAGACTGAACACATGCAGTGAATACAGATGGCTTTTTGTGGCAATGTCTGTTGTCTCAAGAGCGATTTATAAAGGCCTGGTTCGATTTTCTTTGCTCGTGCCCTGAACACAAACAGGCCAGCCCCTTGGTTGGAAACAGCACTTGCTCTCCACAGTGAGTCTTTTGCTGAAAGATATTGGACTGGCCTCTCTGTCCAAGTATTCCTCCGAATGTTGGTACATAACTTAGTAGGCATGTTGTGTCGCGACTTGCGGAAACAAGGCTTGGAGTCCAACCGCCCGACGTTACTTCAACGAGAGCACAAAGGATGAAAGCGCATTGAACGTGTACCCGGGGGTCCGAGAACTGTGGACGTGCCCTGTGTCTTTGTTGCCGAGGCGATTCTTCCCAAGAGCTCTGATTCAACATGTCAGAATGTCACATTGAGCCAAATTCAAGTTCATTGGGAACAGGTTAGTCCCCGCGAGATGGTCCATGTACAAAGCATATTCTCCCACTCGGTGCCAGCTAGTAATCGCCAGTTCCCTACCTATCTACGTAGGTCAATCACCACAGGTATGCTGTGGCATCCATGTCGAAGGAGGCAGCGTGTATCTGGTGATGGAGTCAATAGACATGTGAATGCTGATGGAGGCTGCCCAAGCGCTTACTGCATGAGGTGACTACCTACCTAGGTAACCGAGTCATGGCATACAAGAGAGCGCTCTATTGTAGACTGGACGGGCTATATACATTATAGTAGTTGCCGGTGCAGAATCTGCTTTAGGTTTGGCTATTTTAGTAGCCTTTTATAGACTAAGGGGAAGTATCGCAATAGAATAAAGTACAAGTACTTTATGAATAATGCAAGCAGGAGGCACCTGGGGCCTTTGCTGCGCCGGACATCGGGCAGTGGGTCTTCTGTACATGGCTGGGCACAACAGTCCGGAGCCTCAGCAGGTACCTGGCACCGCTAGCCAATCCCGAAAAAGCCACCGTGGAACTTTGGAACTCGACATTGAATGCTCCAGAGCACGACTCAGCACATCAACTACAAGAAGCATGTACCCAAGTGAGTGACTGGCATTTCATCACTTCACCACTACATGTGCATGTGCAGCTTGGCCTTTGCTCTTGGCCGGCGCCCCATTCTCGTTCAGGGTACTTCTTCCTTGTGCTTTGCTTTTTTTTTCTTCTCTTTTTTTGCGACGACATCGTCTTGAATAGGGAAACACGACTCACTGCGCACCCCCTCTGACCCTGGACATGATCTGACACTCGACGGCCAACCTCGATCCATTCAACAGGTTGTGGCTGCTGTGAATAATCGTTGTTTCCTTCGAACCCTCTTCTCCATCCATTGTCTGCAAGACCGGGCAGTTGAAAGATGGCGTCTGGACCATTGGACTCGCAGCCCGCCGAAGCCGCCGGCGCCGGAACTCCTGGGGAGCTTGTTGTCAACCTCCAGATTCTGTCCCCGTCCGTGGGCGTTAATCGCCCGCTTCTGTTTCCCGACCTGCCGGCTGTGACAACAATCAAGCAGCTTAAAGACAGAATTCGCCAAGCGCTTCCTCTGCGACCAGCCGATGAAAACCAGCGCCTGATCCACCGAGGGAGAGCTCTGTTGCGCGAGTCGGACAACTTGCTAGACGTCTTTGGCGCCGATGCTGTGAGTTCAGTGCCATTCATCATGCCTACTTCGACTCTTGAGTTGGCTTGCGTCGAGTTAACCAAAGTCCCCCTGATCACAGCTTCGAATCCCCGAACGGCAAACCATTCACCTCGTCGTGCGGGAACTCACCGATAGCCATTCGTCGAGTCCTGCGCCTACAACCGCCCGAGGTCCGAGTCCTGCGTCCACCGCTCACACTCCAGCTCCAACGGCGCAGCATGCTGCTCAGATTTATTTCGGACCGCCACCCCCCCCTGGGCTTGCCAGGAGGACGCATTCCCAGCCTGCTACGCCCGGAGGCCACAATGCCCGGATACCTTCCCCTGCCTTGGCCCAACAACAACAGCAACAGCAACCTCCTCACCCCAACGCCGATCCCGCCGCTGTTTTCCAACAACACCACCAAAACATGAACAACTGGCTCAGCCACATGCAACGAGACGGCGCTGCGACCAGGGCTATAGTCCAGCAGCACCAACTAGGAAGGGCTCACATGGGGATGCGAGGCATTGGAGATTCGGCTGGAGCCCCCAGCCATTCTGGGGCCAACTCGGTAGCTCCCAATAGTGGCCGGGCTAGTCCGGCAGCAACTCAAACCGTCTACCGTGAGACCGTTGGGCCTAATGGGCATAGCTACCACCTTGAAACGGTCATCCGGTCTGGAACACCAGGCCAACAAAACGGGCTTTCCTTCGCCGATGTTCAAAATATCCTGCGAGGGGCAGACGCCAACCAAGCTACGGCTACAATAACAAATGCCATGCAGAGAAGTGCCTCCGGAGCCTCCATACACGGCAGGCCGTTGAACCAGCCTGGCATCACCACCCCTATACTTGGTCCCCGTGCCTCAACCACTGGCAGCGGACGTGCCACACCTGATTCGAGCACAAGATTTGGCTTGGGAGCCGGCCACTTCGCAGTTTCTACGGGAGCCCAGGGCGGCCCGTCGTGCCATGGTGCGGATCTCTATATGATTTCGTCGCCCCAAGGGCCTCGTGCCCTCTTGATGAGAAACCATACTGCCGAGATGTACTACACTCCTAGTCGGACGGTATTCCAGAACAGCATGCCTCCCTTCCGGGTTCCGGCTGGCTACGCCAACCCCGTCTATCCTGCCATACAACATCAGACACCTCAGAGTAACTACCAGCAACACCCACCGCAACAACAACAGCAGGGGCCAGAACAGCAACACCGGGGCGACCAGGCCCACGCTCCGCCGGCCGGACAGGGCGCCATGCACCCAGCAAACCCTCCAGCCGCAGGTCTGCCGCCCCTCTTGTTGCAGGCCTGGCCCCATATATGGCTAGTTTTCCGCTTAGCCCTGTTTGTTTGGCTTTTCACGTCTCCAAACTCCAGCTGGTCGAGGTGGTTTACGGTTATATGCCTTGCCATTCTCGTGTTTCTCCTAAGCACAGGAATTTTAAATGGCGTTGCCGAGAATGCTTGGCGGCCTATTGGCAGACATTTGGAGAATCTTCTTCCTACTCCCGAACAACATGTCCGTAGACAGCAACTACCGGCTGGCCACGCAGGCCCTCCGGAGCAGCAGCCTCTTGTTCAGGCAGGTGAAACAAACCCAGCACAGATGGCAGCGAGGTTGATGGCTGAACGACGACGTCAATCTTGGTTTACGGCCCAAGTACGTCGAATTGAGAGGGCTGGACTTCTATTTCTCGCAAGCATTGCCCCAGGAGTGGCGGAAAGACACATAGCAAACTTGGAAGCAGAGACACGCGCCGAGGAAGCGCGGAGGCGTGAAGAAGAGGAGGCGGCGGCGGCCACAGAAGCAGAAAACAATGCCAGTTCAGGAGATACGAGCCAAATAATCAATGAGTCTGGTGTCGAGAACCAGACGCAGGAAGGGACCACGCATGGAAATGAAAGACAAGAGGAGCCCCGTGGTGATGTTGACGCGGATGGTGTCGGAGAAGACCTGATTGCTTTGTAGTAACGGGGTTGGTACGTGCATGGTTTTATAGACGGATGAATGAATGGCGGTGGAATATTATTGGATGTACATCCTGCACACTACAGCAAGCGATTTTGAAAATAGCATTATCAGGGGTTCTGGTGCCATCATCAGACAGCCTGCTCAAGCGCCTTCTTCTTCTTCTTCTTCTTCTTCGTTTTTCTTTTTTGATATTGTGGTGTCCATGAAACAAGTCACTACGGTAAGCTGCTACTATCTAAGGGCCTAGATAGGTAGGTGGCTCTACCTGACGCCAAACCGCCCCGGGCCGATGACGGTCAAAATTTTGAAGCATCAAACTGCTCTCTGCTGGAGTTGAGCTGTTGCTTAGTTGATAGTGTAGGTGGCTTTGCTGACAACCAACCATGATTCCAACGGGGCGTTGGATTTAATCGATTTGAGAGCTACTACTAAAGGAAGGAAACTGTGGTGTATTTTGGAGACATTCAATTTACCAGCACCGCCTTTTGTCGTTTTAAACCGTAAGAAATACTTGGCCTTGATTTTCGCATATTCATCCGATGCTGGCATCTGCACAACGCCAATGGGTGGCTTGGTGGGAAAGTTCCTTGTGGCGCTTGCTCTTATCTTATCGCTGAGAGTCGGGACAAAGTATCCCGCCGCCTGAAGCTCGTCGCAGTCTGCCAGTTCCATCCACCGAGACATGCAAGAGCGTTTTGGCTGCTGCTCCGAGCCCACACCAGAAATAATACTTTTGCCGTCTACTATCCCTCCGATCCATTTTTCACATTCGACAAGCCCGTCGCTGAGTCCGGGGCACAGTCGCAAAGCTAGCGTATCGCCGGCGCAACAATGAGCGGCGGGTGGAATACAAGTACGTCGCTCTGGGTCTGCCACCTCTGTCAGTGTATTTCAGCTAACCCGAGCCTCCTCAACAGTCGAGTCTGATGCAGTATGGACACCAAAGTAAATCCCACCGTAAATATATACCTCATACTGACGGGCCATATTTCCGTTCCTCCTAAATAGGGCGTCTTCACGTCTCTCATCGAGAACCTCGGCGTCAAAAACGTCCAGTTCGAGGAGCTGCTCACCCTCGACGCCGCCGAACTGGTGACTCTGCAGCCTCTGTACGGGGTGATTTTCCTCTTCAAGTACCCGACCGACCGGCCGTATGCCACGCCAGACGGACCGCTCGACGGGTCGTTCGACCACGGCGCCTCGGAGCAGATGTTCTTTGCCGCCCAGACAATCCAGAATGCGTGCGCCACGCAGGCCCTCCTCAGCGTCTTGATGAACAAGACGGAGGATGTCGACATTGGACCCCAGATGCGAGACTTTCGCGAGTTCACCATGGTGCTGCCGCCCGAGTTCCGGGGCGAGGCGCTGAGCAATTCCGATTTGATCAGGGAGGTGCACAACAGCTTTGCGAGGAGCAGCCCGTTCGCCGACGAGACGCAAAAGACTGGCGAGGCCGAGGACGCCTTCCACTTCATTGCGTACACGCCCGTCAACGGCGCGCTGTACGAGCTCGACGGGCTGCAGCCTGCTCCTATATCCCACGGGCCGTGTACCCTGGACTCATTCCCGGCCAAGGTGGTCGAGGTGCTACAACGACGCGTGGCTCGCTACGAGACGTCGGAAATTCGCTTCAACCTGCTCGCCATGTGCCGCGACCTGCGGGTCCGCGCTCGCGAGTTTGGCGACGATGAACTCTTGGCCAGGGAGGAGAGGAAGCGCCGGGACTGGCAGTTTGAGAACGCCCTCAGGCGACATAATTTTGTTGGGTTCGCCGGCGAATTGCTCAAGGGGGTGGTGGATGCCAAGCTCAGGGAGGGCGGTGACGCTGCGGTGGACAAGTGGGTTGACGAAAGCTTGGAGCGACGAAAAGCGGCCGAGAAGGCGTTGCGAAGAGGGGATGGAGATGTCGATATGGAGTGAATTATACTGACGTTGTATGGCTGATTGTGCTCAGGCTGATTCTCCGTTTTGTTACGTGGTATGATACCCTCCGCCATTTTCACCTTGTTGTATAAAAATATGAAGAGCTCCTAGGTTTTGGCTACGTTGAATACCCAGGTGAGCTGCGAACTAATAGATCACACATGTCTGTTCTTTTAGACTAGATGGCTACATTGTTTGACAGTGCTTGCCCTCATAAATGACGATGTTGTCTCCGTTCGCATGACCTTGCGACGTTTCCCGAAACCTTACAACTTTGCTTCAGCATTTGCGGAGTAGTCGTCGTTCGAGACGGGTTGGACTCGGGTCATGGAAGAAGAGCCGTCCATGTCGTCAGTTCCATTGCCGCCTGATGCGGTGTCGCGATCTTCATTCTGGTCTCGACAGCGGTGCTTCAAAACTCTTACAAACCAGGGTGGACGACCAACTCCCTTCCATGTCCAATACTCTTTGAGATCATACTCACGTGGTTCAATGCGCCCACCGCTTACATAGACAACAATTCCGACAAGCCCGTTTAGTATGGTGTACACAAATATACCTCTGGATCGATGGGTCAGTTGGGTATCGATTGCGATGGGGACACAGACTTACGCAATGAGACCGTACGCAACGCTGTAGGTGAACGGTATGAGGGCCATGACTACAAAAGAAGGCAGTACATCACCAATATAGTACCAGTTGACCTGTGTAATCTGACGAATCATCATACAGCCGACCTGTCCCTCATCATTAGTCACAAGCTCAGCTTGTACACGACGTTTGGACTTACCATGATCAATGTACAACCAGTTGCCCATGGAGGCAGTGAGGCGAAAATAGGGGCGAAGAAGATGGAAACCAAGAAACACAACCCCGAAACGATGGCGGTGATTCCCGTTCGACCACCCTCAGCAATGCCGGCTCCGCTTTCAATGAATGCCGTGACAGGAGAGGACCCAAACAAGGCACCGATGGAGATGAAAAAAGCATCAGTGCAGTATGCCAGGGTAGAACGACGAAAATCGCCGTCCTTGCGATCGTCGATGCCACAGAAACGAACCATGGAATACAACGTGGCTGTGGCGTCGATGATATCGACATAGAGAAACGTGAAGAGGGCGAGGGCGAATTGCGAACCACCGCGGCTGAAGGTCCAGTCGAGTTTATTGAGGGTCTTGTCCATAGGGTGCCAGGCAACAATCTGCTTGAAGAAGTCGAAGCGTAAGTTGCCGACCTCGTTGTCTGGGAAGTAGGTCACGGTTGTATTACGACTAATTTCCAGCCAAGTCAACTTTTGATGGCTACGTCCATGAGGGCGTATACGTGAGTAAGAGAACTTACGGCCAGGATATGACGGACACGAGAGCGATGCCGATGACGAGGGAGTATTTGATGCGGTATGCCATCAGGAAGGCCGTGACGATACCGCCGCAAAAGATGCCGAGCCACATCTACGGTTGCCCCCCTTTGGTTAGTTTCTCACGAAAAAAAAAAAAACCGAAAAAAGGGACAGAAAGAGTGTAAAAAAAAAAGAGAGAAGAGAGAGTTATTGGAGCGAGACTTCGAACCTTGGGACTGGTCATTTGACCGGATGCACACATTCCTTTTTCATTGAGAAGTTCAGAGGGGCATCCTCCCAGGGCAAGTGGCGTCGCTGGGCCACCGCCGGTGATGACTCCGATGCCGACCGAGTAGGACAGTCCAATTTCTGTCAGGAAAAATCCAATGCCGACACCAGTAGCGACCTTCAACGTGGAGGGGATTAGCTTAACCAGCCACTGCCTCATGCCGCTCAGTGCCAGCACTACGAAGATGATGCCTTCGATGAAGACGGCTGTGAGGGCGGTCTGATATGGGATCTTTCCGCCTCCATTTACACCGACAACCTAGCCAGAGAGTTTTGGCTTGTATTAGCTCCTGAGATATGCATGGCATGCTTCAAGGGCGATATGGGTGAACGAGATACCTGGAAAGCAAAGTAGGCGTTGAGTCCCATGCCTGGCCTATATCGGCGTATCAGCTGGAGTATTTGAAGTTGTACCGTGTACGGAGTCACTTACGCAAGGGCAACAGGGAGATTGGTTAGAATGCCAAATACCAGGGACGCTAGCCCGGCAATGGCGGCCGTGGCAGTGATCAGTTCTCGTCGAACATCTAGGCTCCATCAGTCAGGATGGTCTGGTGACTGAGGGAATGGTAACGCTTTCACCCACCCTCTTTGCAGGTTTTGAATTCTGGGATGCCATCACACGTCTGCTTGTCCTCGAGATCACAAACACAAGGACCGCCAGTTGAAGAGAGTATAGATGCCTAAGAAATCGTTAAGACTCTGGCTTCCAGACAAAGGCCATAGGAGTAGGTGACGGACATTGACGGAAATAATGTACGCCATTGTCGCAAAGGTCGTCAACCCAGCTCGAATTTCCCGGCAGAAGCTTGCACTGTCTATCTTGTCTGGCTAGATGAGTACCGGATTAGCAAAGACGCAGGTTTCTTTCTGGGGGGTTGACACACATTAACGCTGTCCCCGAGGCGAAAGTAGCTCCCAACACGAGAGTTGGCTACCCAGAGGTCAACGGAGCGGAAGAATTTACGTAATTCCATGATGATGGATGGCCTATCTTGTGAAAAGGGGCTTGGTACGATGGCAGATGGCAGTTGTTTTCCGTCATGTGTTGTAAGTGGCATTGCAAATGGTGGATCTGACAATGATGCATTTACAAGACTTGAGGGGAAGAAGGGGGGAAGAGGAAGGCGAGAGACGAAAGCAAGTTTCTAAATGTATCAAGATGAATTGAGCGAAATGTGAATTAAGGGCACGTGGACAACTCCAGTAGATCCGGCACTGCGAGACAGCTGGCAGCTGGCAGCTGGCGACTTGGGAGCCGGATGAACGACTTGACATCTCAGTGCTGGGTGGGCTTCTTGAGCTGGGCAGATGGGGCGTCACAGATATCTGGGTTTCAGAGCAGATGATATGAATGGCTAAGGCTCGCCTACGCTGCGGACAGATGCAACTACCTAGGTAGGTTCCATCATGTTCATCAACTTACAACATCGGACCCTGTTTGAGTCCGGCCCAGTGATCCACGAACTCTTACTGTACGCCTACATGAGAAGAGAGCCTCCAAGGGGAATGGCACGAAACGCGGCGCTCATCCAGAATGAAGTTTATTGCATGCAGGGTAAACTAGATTTCTATACGCGTTACTAATGAAGCGTGGCTCGATCTGTGCTCCGTTTCTCAAGATGCTGTGAATGCCGAGATGTATCCCGACCAAATGGCCCTGCGTTGCCAGGATCGAGGACCGGACGAAACAACGAGCAAGCATACTTTCATCTCATCATCTTTCTGAAGACTGAGCTCGGGCAAACTGTGTTTTACGACTTTTAGGTTTCAGAGCTTGGTAACGAACGATGGGGGTAATTGACGCTCTGCGGCAACTCTGTGAGCCTGCCTATATGCTCCTTGTTGAAAGAAATGCCCAATTTTGGATGAAAGTGCCACCAGACGGTTGTGGGGGTTGTTTCAGGCTGCGAAAGGAATGCAATGTAATACAATCCTGAGTATGGGATTTAATTGGTCTGACTAAAGGGCAGAATATATCATCTGGACAGCACACAAAGGTCCTTTTGTTCTTTGGCCCGCTTGGCCCAGCCATAACCACGGCAACGTCGGCCGCGAACAATGGCGACACCAGCTACTGCAGAGGTATTGGTTGGCGTGGAATCGCGGGATTCTCGGGGACTGATTTGTACACCTGCCTTGGGGAACATGGAGGTGGTCCAGCGTCTGCGGTGCGGCATCTGACTCGCCTCGATGCCATCATCTACTGCTCGTGTCATGGATGCACACGCTGCAGGCGGATGACAGATGGTAGCTGGGAACATGGAGCCCTTGACACTGTTTGTACGACTGTGAATACTGTTCGCTGCGGATAAAGGAAGAAGGAAGCTCGGACATAGCCGAGGATTATGACACGCACGACGGTCTAGTTGTACCAACACTAGGCATCAAAAAGCGAGCAACATTTTCTTTCCCATTTGTTTCACCGCCGCGTTTTGTTTCGTGGGAAACATAGCACCACGCCCGCCACCCTCTAAACTTTGGTAATTCTTTTCTTTTCAAAAATAACAACGTTTTTAGGTATGTGAAGATATTTGATTCTTTCGGTACTAAACCGCGTGGCGAGAAAACCGTCTGTCAACTGCCACGCCCCGGCTGCTGCTTTGCGGTGACATCAATTCTGTCCCAACTCATGCAGCATCCGCCCTCCACAAGCACCCATTCCTAACCAACAAGTCAGATTTAAGCTCGCTAATTAAGGCTGATGTGAAACTGAAAGCAATAACTGATTGGTCGTGCCGAGTCTGTGGATCAACACAGTTCAACACAGTTGTTCACTGCAGTCTGGGGCCTCCCATCTTGATGCAAGCCAGAGAGCATCTGGGTCGCCACCGTCACACATCTCTCACCTCCTTTTGGTCTGGACTTGAACTCTTTGTTACACGGCAGCGGGTAATTGCATCTAATAATTCTCGTGCGACTGCTATTTCACGCTCTCCATTGGATGGCAACACCACTCAGAGTTCACGCCAAACCTGATCTCTCTGCCAGCATCGGCCAACCATCTAATCTCGACTAATATTCACCACAGTCATTCCAACAAGAAATAAAGAAGGAAAAAACAGGCTGTGTGTCAACAACCTCAGGTGCGAAAAAAAAAAAACAAATCCAAAAGACCGATTCTGCGCTGAAAAAGATATTCCATAGCCTGTTAATGGTGCCAACAAAAACGCCCCCTTGCCACTCGACTTATAACCTCGTCTCCAGAAGCTGCCTGTCATACCTCAAGCGTCTATTCTAACCTCAGCGTCTCGTCTTGTGGCACTTGGAATTGGAGCTTGCTACATGTATTGTTTAATGAAGCAGGGGTCTTGTCGTTTGATCCCGTCGAGAAAAGGCAGCGCCTAAAAGTCCCGCGTAGGCGGAATCGCACCAACTTTAACACAATCCGCCGAGTTGACCACCTTGGCTCCCGTTGCCATGTGGGATGTGGCCTGGACAGACCCAAAACGAGAGCTAGTGGGCGAGCATCGCGGGAGAAAGGACAAAGACAGGAGTGTCAAGGACAAGAGCCTATCTCGAAACTCGGTCTCGACAACAAGCTCAAAGACATCTACTCACTCTACACTTTCTCGTCTTCGGGCCAGAGCGCTTCGATCCTCTTCAAAAGAGTCCCCTAGGCAGAATATAAATCCGGACTCTGGGCCTCAGACTCCCGATCGCTCCTTCAACAATCGCTCTCCATCGGTGATGTCAGATGCTGAGCAGAGACAAGTTAGTGGCCGCCCGATCCTCAGCTGCTCCGACTTGCAAGTAGAAGCTACAACACAGAATGGATTTAACTCAGTGGGGCGAAGCAAGTTTGCTGCCGTTAAAATAACCAAAAACAAAGGTGAATAAGGCATGTCTGTGCGCATTTTGACTATTTTTGCTCATGCCGTCGTGAAGGACTAGCTCCAGAAACATCAGCCGCGATTGAGTCGTGCGCTAGGCAGTCAAATGACAGTGACGTATTTTCGACAAAAAGAAGGGAGAAAGAGGAAACTAAATCTACAGGATACAGAAATGGAAATTCGAAGCAGCCTAATGGGGCCGGTATCTGGCTGCAGCGTCCGCTTGATCTCCAAAGCCCTATAAGACAGTCGTTTGTAGCCAGTCCCTTGGTGTCGCCCAAGTGGCCCAAGTCGCCATCCAGGTATGAATAGCAAAGTCCAGTTCGACAATAAACAAAGTATAGAAATTCTGACAAAGAGAATACAGAGTCCCTGGGTTAAGCGCAGCACTGCCGCAGGATGAGCCAGTAAAGGTGGTACCGCCCATGAGATCTCAAATACGACTACCACCCAAGCCAGCCCAGGAATTCTCTCCTATCAACGATTTATCCTTGTGGCGCAGCCCGAGAGAATGGAGTGCGACGACAGAAATGGGAAACACGGTCCAAATGATAGAGACAGTGACCGGACTCAGAGCCAAAGAGCTAGAAACCACCTCCTTCGAGATGTCGCCCGAGTCGTGGGATCTACCGACAGAGGTGAAGCAGATGGCCCAAGCTAAGCCTTCAACCGCACTATCCAAGCTGAAAGCGTCGGCTGATAACGCTTTAAGCTTGGAGGAGACCCAAAAAATCAATGGGGAGAAGAAAAGATGGATGCTCTCTGTCTTACACCATCTAGATTGTGGCAACAGACACGACTCGAATGATTCAAGCACACTGAGGAACGGGCTCGAAATACTAGAACAGGCCAAGTGTCGAAAGATTTTGGCGGCATATGATCCTAGATGTACTGACTGGTCATGTCAAGCGCAACTCCTGTTAGATCAACTGCTAACATTGGCTGTAGTTTCGGCACGCTACTTGGCTGCGTTGTGGCCCGAAAACACAATTCATCACCTATCCGACAACCCACTCTCCTCCGACTCAGCATCCAATATTTGCGCTGTTTATAGTCCGGATGCGGTCTCGCCCTTCCTTGGACCCCTCCGTAATTTTGACGCTGCTTATTCCATGACATTGCCTTCTCTCTGCCGCGAGTCGGATATCCCGGCCGTTCTGAACAATATCAACAAATGCCTTAGGCCCGGAGGGGTCTATCATTTACTATTGATAGACCCTATACCTAACACTGATGCGCTGGGAAAGAACATGAGAGCTTGGTTTAGGAATAACCTGCTACAGAAACTTAGGCAGCAGTCACGATGTCTTAGTCCCAGCTACATCTTTCCAAAAGCCCTGGGGGAATCGTCACTGCGGGGGCATGGGAGCACCTTGACAACCACGAAGTTCTACGCGAACCCTCAGAATATCTGTCGCAGGCAGGACGAAACCGATGATGAAGCGAAGCGGGAGAGGGAAGGCAAAGAAACCAGGGCCGAGCTCAGGAGTATTGTTGGTCGTATGCTCTGGAGAGAAGTTTGGGGCGAGTTTGTTACGTCAGACACTTGGTGGTGGGAGGACCCGGATTGCATGCGGGAGTGCCTTGAACTGGGCACTTTCTGGGAATATTACTCAATCCAAGCTGTAAAATCAAATTGAAACCCCGAAGGCGCCGTTGGGTTCTGTGTTGAATCACCGCATCACCGCGCTTATCTACGGTCTGTTCGCTGTTTCTTGATTGAGCCCGAGCAGAGCCAGCAAAGGTCGCGACCCACCACCGAAAAAGACTCGTTGAGTCTCCCAATGGTTCTAGACCAAATAACGTATTTAAAATGATAATCAAAATGAAGCAGATCTCAACTGCCGACGAGTGCTCTTCTCCGAATAGGATTAATGCACCTTGTAAACTTGGTGGTGGAGTGCCACTTCCGTTGTGGCACAAGTAGGCATGGTCAAGTTCAACATACTGGTCCAGACAACAGAGACAACACAAGATAAACCTCAGTAATGCGACTTTGAAAGAGGGTCTGCAATTTTTTTTCTTGTGGTGATTGTCCGCAAAAGAGCTGAGACATGACGGTCATGGCAAACCGCTCTGACCTGCCTCCATTTCAGACAAGGACACCAAGGCGGAGGCAGCACATCGTGATCGGCAATCAACATAGTCTGCGTCTATTCTTAAGCCAAGGATCCCTAGATGAAGACGGCCCCCTTGCACGCGCGACAAAATGTTCACGTTAACTAGGCGCCGCCACCCTCCAACTACGTACATACTCAATCAGGCAACCGCCGTTGCGGATCAGATCGTCAACGAGATATCGTGATGTCAAGGCTCAACACCCTCTACATCCCAACTAGTAGTACTACTGCCTGTATTCATGCAAGACTCGTCCCCAAGTCGTCGGTGGAGAAGTAATTTATCAAGGAACACGTGGGGACAGCTATTCTTCAGCCCGAAATAGCGTACGGGGTCTATAACCAGACGGCGTTGAATCAACGACAGGAACTAGACGAGAAAATGCCAAAATCTGTAGAGATAGACCCAGAAGGTGGATGCCTTGTTTAAATCCTGGCTGTGTTGCCATATGTACGTAGCGATGCTTGGTGCCCCGTCTCTCCGGATTTCACCAGCATGTGGCTCCATCTGCCAAGGAAACCATGAACAAGATTGCATGTTCAACTCGCGTGACGCCCCGAACGGCTGGAGCCTCGGCCCAGCAATAGGAGGGGTGGGTGGCCTCGGGGCGCCTGACCTGTCATATTTGAATGACAGCGGCATCGTATTCCGTACAGAAATTCAGCCACCAGAATTTGATGTCTCTACGGCTACACATTGTAACAAGGTCCAGGGGCAGGGGTGAGCTGGGGTACAGGAGTCAAGGGCCATGACTCGATTCGGGCGGGAAGAGGCCAAAGCCACGCGTGTGGCCTTGTCTAGGGCGGAGCTGATGATTGCTGTCCTCACCTCACTGTCCACAAGAGAACAACAAAACATCACAGTCAATATTGGCATCTGCATGGTTTGTCCCTGACACGAGCCGCAGACGGCCTGCTTCCACAAGAGCAGAAACATCATCTGTTGTGTCTCAATACAATCTAATTTCGCCATCGTACGCAATGAAGCTCTGATTTTTTTTATGCCGGCTAAACTCGTTGCTGCTTCACACATGTATCATGTCCATATCCAAGATTGGCCATGTACAATACACGACACCAAAATCCAAAACAGCTTATCCAAAGCACACGCGGCTTTCATCAGAGGAGTAGCACGTGTTTCTGTGCTACAAAGGTATCTATCTCCAAGTACAGGAACCAGACTCCTGGATCCAAAAAAAAAAAGACTCCGATGAAATGGGACTTGACGGTCATAGAGCAAGCTCCCCCCTTTCTGTTTACCAGAAACAGACACTCTTCCCGGGATCATGCCAGAGAACGCATATTAGAATTTTGAGTCGAAGCAGGTCGTAAAAGTGGGAATAAACAGATAATAGTAGCTAATTACATCAACATCAACCATAATGAAGAAGAATGAAGAATGATATTACAATAGTGTCGGGGATTTCGTTTCGTATTATGGCGCTGCAACACCTCAGCAGTGACGGCTGCCATCAGCTGAATGAGCCCGAGCCTTGGCCAGCTCTGTCGTGCTGTCAGACGCAAAAGTCCTGGAGCTGCCGGGAGGGGACCTGAGCACGTTCCGGCTACGGGGGGGTGTTGCGGCATCCTTTTTGTCGCGACCGTTTCTCTCGTCAATTAACTCGGACACACTTGGTCTTTTCTTCCACCGCAGATCCTCCAGGAGCTCTTGACACGCCGACCAGGACGTCACGGCGTAGATGACGGCGTTCCAGAACCCTTGGAGGGGAAGGACAAAGGCGCTCATGAACTCCAGAGTAACAGAGACATCCTTGTCATTCACAAAAGAATACACTCGGTTCGCGCTCGACGGGATCCACGTGATGAGAATTGCTGTGAAGAAGAGAATAGAGCACTTGGTATATGACCAGGCCGCGTTGTTCAGCTCATGGTTGCGTCGACGACTAATGTTGGCTGGTCGTCGAGGAGCAAGTTGCACCGTAGATGTATGTTGCAGTGTCGTTCCTTGAATGGGCAGGGCATCTTCGTCATAGGTCTGGGCAGTGTTATTCAAGTCCGCTGAGATGTGAACTGTGTACGCTCCGTTGGGACTCCTCGTGCTCTGCACAGAGTTGGAGTTTTGACGATTCATGCTGGCGAGCTGCATTCCCCTCTCTCCCGCTACCTCGCTTGTGACGGTAATCTCCGTGGTCTTGACGGTGGAGATGGCGTCGCCGTTGACTGAAAGAGGGTCAGGGTCGGACGAGTTAAAGCCTCGAAGCTGCTTGTGCTTTTCATAAATGGTACGCCCGGCTCGTATATAGATGAAAAATGTCATCAGAATCACAATCCTGGATGGCTTGTATTAACGAGAGTGAAGTTCAGCATGATTCGGGGCCATGACCACGTACCAGACAGGGCCATAAAAGGCTGCAATTCTAAGGAGATCCCAGTCGTAGGAGATCCAACACCACAGTGAAGCATTTCCGTAAACACGTGCTCCATCGTGGTCTTTGATGAAAAGAAAGACAAAGGCGGGCACGAATGGGATGCCGTAGCAGCCAATTAAATAGGCGATTTCCATGCGTCGAAGGCGTTCGGCATCAAATTTGAAGTAAAACGTAAGATAAACATTAATAGCCATAGCCAAAGTCCAAAAGGCATCTGCAGGCATAAATCTGTAGTTTTGGGGGGGGGGGACGTTAGTAACTCTTGATATAAATAGGTTCGTGATGCGGCTAGTCAGAAAATCGACAACGTACAGTTGAATCAGAAAGGCTTGAAATTGGCACCCAAAAGAAGTACCGTTTTCCAAGAAGGTTCGTGACATCAAAGTTCCGATATTAGTTAACATGTTGCCAAAGGAGGCATAAAACACCAGTCGGTTGATTGGCTTGTGAAAGGATCGTGAGTAGCAGAAAGTAACAATGGTGAAGAGACAGCCCAGAAGCGACAAGACTGAACAGGCTCTCTCAATGGCACTAATGGCCCTGAGCTGACTCTCGTTCATACCAATCATTGTCGGAGGCCGCTCGTGGCACGAAGCACTCGGTCGTTGACTGTGTTCTTGGAAACAGGGTCCATATAACACAATGAGCCAACAGAATGCCAACGGAGTGCTTCCAACCGCCTTGGAAAAGAGGCCCAGGTGACGTCGTAGTTCTAGAGTAGAGAAGCTCGAGGGTCAATTCGCGGGTCCGTCGTTATACTCGAGAGCCGGGAAGGCTGGTTGTTTAATACTTGATGTGAGTCGTTAAAGGACATGAGATGAACCGGCAATTGAGTGCAAGTGAAATCTGATAGTAAGAAGAGTGAGGGGACCTGTAAAATTAGAGCCAGGCAAGATCATGGCCCCAGGTTCGGCATCTACTCTCAATCGTTGGAAGTGGGCAATCTTTTGTCGAATGAAGACCAGGTAAAAACAACCCAATGGGCTGGGATGAGACAAGAAGTGGAGAAATGGACGAAGACTGAGGGCTCTATCTAGGATTCGTAAAATCTTTTGCATGTCCTGCCCGATCTGCAAGAGATGGATATCTGTTTCGGCTAATCAGACTTGCCGTTGATGGAGTTCGAGCAGCATCGAGCCACTCGTTTCCCAGACAAAGCCTTCAACCACACGTCTAGGGAAGACGATTGGTAATGACAACAAAAGAATGAAGGAGGGCTGTGTTTTGCCAATCTCTACGCGTGCGGCAGAGGAATGGATGAAACTGACTAGAATTCTCAAGTCGTGGGCAATGAATGGCACAGGCCAATATATGGAGCCAGTCCGGCAACATGGACATTGGCTATACTCGTCCAACTGAGAGACTGAATGCTTGGACCTTTTCTGCCCGGGAGACTGACAGGAGCCTCAGGGAGTCTGTGTCGTCTGTGTTCCGTACTCTGTGTACACATTTGTATGTTGTGGCGTCGTCCGGTAGCCGCCTCTTGTAGCCAGGCTGACAAGGATATCAAGGGTAACAAGGGTGCATAGCATGGACGCAGGCACAGAGGTTGGTTTAGCAAGGGTCCATGCAGATGTGGTAAAAGGAACACGACCGTGTTGCATTATAAACCCAGAATCTGGGACCGTGGGCGGCGGCAGATGGGTGTACGGCCAGAATGGATGTATGTAGTAGTAGTTTTGTGCTTGCTGGGTTGCACTGAGTGGAAAGCGGCTACAAGTCCGAGGTTGCCCTTGTTTCGTTGAACAACAGAGTCAAGTTTGTCTGAGTTGAGTCAACTTGAGTGTGAGGCATGTGGGGGGATGAAGACTTCCATGTCGGTCGGTGTTGGAGGACCGAACCTGCCAACGGGGGTGGATTCTCTCTAATGACGGCCTCGTTTGTCCGTTGGCCTTCGGGTAATGTAAGTACTACTGACTGTGTGTAAATCCGGGCTTAGCGTTGCGCGAGCCTGTCAGGACCCTCCAAATAACAGGCAACGCCCTATCGCTCCGACTGTCAACAGGGGAACAGGATTTACAATAATGTACATACAACATATTGTCCATGTCCAGGCTTGGAACATGGAAAGCATCAGAGACAAGGTCGACGAATCAGAGCCGCAGGATTAGGGTTTAGCCATGACGGGTGGAGGCCAGCAAGTCTGTCCCTGGAGAAGTCTTGGCTGAACCCCCTCAACAAGAGTCAAGAGTGCCACCATTCTGGGGAAAGCTGGTCCACGGCATTCAACTGTTCTTTGCTTCATCTTTTTCTCTTTTGCTTTTGCCGGCTTTGGTTGGCTTCGTTGCCTGTTCTCTGCACTGACATCATTATGGAGCACGCTTCCGTCGTCTCGGCGGCACGCATGTGGATGCGAGTTGGAGCCATGAGAAGCAGACGGCAAACTTTGCGATTGTTTGCTTGCCGGGCCAAAAACGGCAACTTGCAGGTGGAATTCTCCCAGCGACAGCATCCCACCTCGCGTCGTCGTTTGGCACTCAGTTGCTTCTTTGTCCCGATTTCGAGCTATCCCTGCGGCCGGAGCAGTTCGTTTCGGGTTCAGACGGATCCAGAGTTTGTGGTTCCGGTTGAGCAATCCAGTTTCGAGTACAGCATGACAGTCACTGTAGGCCACTTGGTCAGGTAGTCAGGTACGGACGAATCGACCAGGGATGAGCAGAGCCAGACCAAGCTCGAGACAGTTCGAGTGCCCAAGTTATGATGCTGCCCTGGACGAGAATAGAACAACTCGGAGACTCGGAACCGGCCGCGGAGCTCCTGAGCTGTACAATGTACATATATGCTAGTACAATGTTTGTCCCATCCCGGTCTACTCCTCTTGATGGTGGAGTTTTGAGTTGTAAACTTTGTCAGGATGGTGTCAAACGTTTGCCTTTTTCTTTTCCCATCACAGCCAGCACGGTTGAGTCGGCCCATCTCTTCTCCATCTCCCCACGTCCTCTGTGGGCATGTCTTACCTCAACTGGCCTCTTGTGGTCGGCGAAGAACAGGGTCTAATACGCTTGAGGAGACAAGCGTTGGCAGGCAGGTGGGAAGAAAGGAGAGAGAGCATTCTCACAAGATGATACGTACTTTCCAGTTCATTGTCAGGCACAAGTTCGCCGCACAACACCGCCGGTTACCCACAGACGCCCTCTCAGACAGATTGATTGTCAGTCGTCCAACTGACTGACAGGCTGAGTGTCCGTGCTTGGACATTCCATGCCCGTCCCATCAGCTAGTACTAGTAGTAGCCGTGCCCTAGCAATCCTGGCCAGATTGCGCATTCGCGTCATTCACGTTGCCACCAAGTCCCCTGCTTTTGCTGCAAGCATGTCCGTCCTCAAGTCGCGTCCATCAGTCAACCTGCGCGGGTTGGTTGATGGCGCGCGACGCACCGGACCTGTGGTCTCACAAAAACGACGAGTCTCCGCTTCTCGCAACGGCTTCTGTCCTTCCAAGTGGCGTAACTTGTCTTAGGTCCCGAACCTAGATGACACACAGGAGCCAGGGGAACAAAAAGGAAAACTGCTGAAGAATGTCAGGCACCGTGGCGTCGCCGTTTCATGTGCTTCGTGTGGACAGGTCCACATCCAACCCCAACAGGGAAATCGCTCAGCAATAATAGGACATCAGTGATACTACTAGTACCGGAGTACTAGTACTAGCGTTCTTGCATCCAACTCTCTTCCTGGCTTTTTTCTTCTCTTCCTCTGTTCCCCGGCCCGGATCGTATCGATGCCTGCAATAGCGGCCGTCTTTATCGGAGATTGCTCAAGGAAGACGATCGAAGGGCATGAGAGAGCCCACCAAAATTATCGTAACCGCACATCTTCCCAGCCAAGGAGCCCCAGATAAACGGGAAATATACCTCACTAGTGCTTGTGCTTGCCGGTACAGCCGTCTTGGCTCTTGGAAATGGTCAGAGTTGAGTCTTTCTGCTGCTGTATCCGTGGCTCCAAGGCTGCAGACAACCCACCGTCTTCCGTTCCACAACGGGCACTTTCCCCCGTTTCGTACACACAGTTCTTTGCTCCATGTGCCAGCAAGCTAGCAAGGCTACTAGCCTCCGCCTAGTAATGATGATCATGATGAGGGCTTGCGTGGAACCGCGCCTGTGGCTCGAAGCACAACATGGCCAGAGGTTTGTCCGTTATTGTGATTGGGCCCCACCCCTTGCCCTTGGTGAACTTGATGCCAAATTTGCCGGCTCAACACCAAGTCCAGAGTCTGGATGAAACTAATGCACCTAACCCTGTGGCTCCCATGTCCGTTCCTGCGGAGCCAGCCCATGAAGATATTCGTTGCGGAATCGTAATGATGGAAAAGAGCCATAAGCTTGACTCAACGGAATCTGTGTCCCTGGATTACGGTGTGCACCGCAAGTACGTACAATAACCGCATAGCTATGTTAGGTTCAGAGCCGACGCGTTCCTCAAGTAAGGATCCATGCCGTCATGGCTGAGCCATCAATGTATGTATTTCCAGTCTTGAGCTGTCATTAGGACCTTCCCAAGTGGGTATAAACCTTACTGCGTGGCTGCATTTGAATCGCAGCAGCTATTGGTATTGCAACGATTCTCAATTCCGCGGAAGGCCATCCCCCATACCGAGTGGCACGCACTGGTCTCCATCAGAGGTACGTATGCACGGTTAGCATAATTTGGAAGGCAACAGTGACTTGGTGTGCGGCCTTGTTGCCATGTTCATCCAGATTCATACATGTAAGCGTCGGGTTCGGCACTTGTCCGGAGTTTGTAGTACATGTAGGCAATAACAGGTAAATTTGTTGTGTCTCAATCCAAAAACCTAGAGTTGTTTCACATGAATTATTGAGTGCCATATGAATCTCTTCTCACCCAGTCCATACGAGACAACAGCTCAGAAAAAGACGCTGTCGGATAGTGATTAGCTGGCAGTGGTAGCCTTGAACCAACGAAAATGCTACATCGAGTACTGTTATCGTGTCTCAGGTGCTCCTGGGATGTTTTTTAATGCCGCAGCTGTACTAATTGTACTGAATCTTGAACGTCCAGATGTATCTATCCCCAGAAAGAACATCCTTTCCCAAAGTGAGCTTCAGAGAGCCGACCTCGTTCCACGACGCGGGGACAGTCTTGCCGTTCAGTCTTCCGCCTACGACAGTAACTTTATCGCCCGGCAAATATGGGACCGGGTCAGTGATATCCAGGGTTTCGGATGGCTTTCCAATGTGATGAATGTAGAAAGCGTCCTTTGTGGTCGTATAACGAAATGGATCAGACCCCGGCTTGACAGTCCAGAATCGTGTCCCGAAGATACTCTCTCCATGGGACTTGATCCATCTGCCGGCATCTCGCAGGTTGTTCTGCATGATTTGTGGAATGGATCCATTCCCCGTAGGTCCAATGTCAAGGAGAAAATTGCCGTTCTTACTCACCATATCAACCAGGGTATGCACAATCTGTTCACCCGTGAGATAGGCGGAGTCTGGCGTTTGGGCATTGTAGCCGTATGAATGTGGATCCATGCCTCTACTGGCTTCCCATTTTCGTGTGACTGTCTCTCCGTTGGTCACATATCTACAGAGAACAGAGGTTAGCAATACAGT